TAATGTAATATAACATGTTAAATTAAACTGCACTTAAATATTTATTTTGAATTAACTTATTAGGTATCCTCAAATTTTGTTTGGAGTTTTTGTAGTTGCAAAAACATGTGGCTATACTGAGCCAGCTAGATCAAGAGCTTGTGGTTCCCCATACAAAATATTACTTACTGATTATGAAAACATCTGTGAGGATGTTATGAAATTTATACAAAATTTAAAAAGTTCTAAAGATCTGAATAAAGTTATTAAGAGCGTAGAAGATTTAAATGAATTAATAATTAAAAATAGCATAACTTTAGCAGAATTAAAAAAAAATAACAGCAAAACAAGTAAAAGAATAGACCAATTTGACAATGAACTAAAAATTCCATTAAAAGATCTAACCAATTTTGTTAGCAAAATGTATATTGGTAGTTATATAATGTTTGGTATGTTATTAGGTATAATAATTTTATTATTTTTTAAATAATACACGAATCTATTAACCAAATTCACTAACATTTTTTTATTGAAATTCTATTCATCATAAAGGTGATGACAAAATCATTAACGTTTAAATTTAAGTTTACATCTTTCTGTAATTTTAAGACTGTTACTATCTATATTAATTGAAACATTATCAGCCAAAGATTTGATTACATCCAAGTTATATCCATTAGTACATTTTTTTTTCTTATAAATTCTCAAAAAATTTTTAAAAACAAAGGCTTCTTTTTTATTAAACCTCGTAGTTGTTTCTGTCGAATTTTTCATGTCGTAAACGATAGTACAGAGAGGTCTATTAGGTCTCTTGAAATAGACTTTACGTATTAACTTAAAATTTATATTAAATAACATATCAACAAATACTTTAAGTACAGTTTCGGTAACGAAATTTATATATATGATATTTAATTACCTTTCTTTGGGTTATGCTTGAAATGAATATGAACTAATTGAGTTTAAAAATTATGTTTAAATACTGTTTAAATACTGTAGCTTGTGTAACCTTGTATTTCTATTTCGTCATGTGAAATTTACCTAACATCAGGTAGATTTTTTCGTTCAAAATTAAAGAAAATCAAAACGCTTATCGCTATCAAAATGAAAGCTGCATCAAACTTTTCCCATTCTATTAAAAATAGGTTTACTGCACAATTAATCACACGTTATATTTCGATATCACACGTTATATTTCGATACAATCTACTGTCATAAGTACTGAAGTATAGAATTTATCCAGTTCATTTTATTGAAAAATTTAATTTCGGGAGGAAAGCAAATACAATTTAACGAATTCTATTTTGACCCAAATTAAACTTAATTTGGGCCGAAGACAATTGACAGATCATCCATCTATTATTGTGTCAACTATATTTTAATTTTTAAATTAATGATTAAATAAAATTAAATAACATAAGACGCGAAAGTAAATAAATAAAGTGTATGCTCTATAATTTCACGAGATCCCAATTTTGCCAAATGATAAATATGATTTTCAACTCCGAATAAGGCTGTAAATACAGAAATATAATAATTAATGCTGTATTTGAATCAAAAAATTGTGAAGAATGGAATATATACCAAATAAGCAAAGCCATCCAATTAAATCCAAATTGGAAAACCAAGAGAATATAATGTAGTTCAAAAAAGTACAAATGATGCCAAAAAAAAAGCGTCGATTATAATGATGTAGAATATTAGATTTTTAAATTGAAAATATGGCTCGTGAAGAAAAATTTGACAAAAGAGGTTTAATATTATGTCTAGGAATTAAAAAACTATAGAAAAATTAAGCTATATTTAGTCAATTCTTGGCTTCAATATACTTTATTGACAGTATTGATAATGGTTGTTTTTATGATTTTTATGATTTAAGAATAAAGCAGCTTGAATCTTTTATACATAACATATTAATTCCACAGTAAAACTTCTCTAAGTGCACGCCTTTGGGACTGGGTTAGATTATAAAACTAGTATTTATTAATATTGTACTACAATTAATAATATCTTGAGTTTTTTCTGAAACCATGCTAATTTATTATCTACCTCTCTAAGTATATCCGGAAAACTTTATCATTTTAATTGGTAAAGTATTTATATTAGTCACTTTTGTGCAAAATCTTATGCACATACAGAGTGCACTTAGCATTAAGTCCCAAGCTTGGGACCGAGCTATCCAAATTATGACTCAGTTGCAGAGTCAACTTATGATTTACCGAATATTAATGTAATTTAAGTTCAATAAGTTTGATATCATTATTTATAAAATCATAACCATGTGGCTTTTAATTAGAGATAGTGATATAACCCAAAGTAACCCATAAATTATTTATATTATCTGTTCAATGTTTGGTTCACTTCTCTAATTAGAGATGTGACCCGTTATTCACTGAATATAAATTTATTAATAAAATCCAGTGAATATTAATTCAATGAAGATCTTATGAACCATGGGTCCGTTTAGTCATCTGATATTATACTGTAATAAAAAGTTCTGTATCTGTTGGCATCCATTTTTTTAAAAATTTTAAGATCCGCTTATACGATACAAGAAATCTCCTTACATCAATACAGAAAACAAATATAAATAGAAAGGTCAAAAATGTAAGTAATTATATCTTCAAAATTATTTCAGATAAGAATAATTATAATTTAAAGATTAAACCTTTGAATAATAAAAGAAAGTATAAATCTATCATTTAGCACTAATACCATCTTTGGAATTAAAGAAAATAATTCATTATTCATTTTGCTTTACTGTATAATAATAACGTTAATTACGTATGACAAGAAAGGACTTTAATGCAATATATAAAAAAATATACAGATAAATTTTTTATTTTTATTTGATGATATCAAGATAAACTTTAGCTTTACTTAAGGATAGAGTGTATGTATACTTGCTGGCAAAACTTATGGAATTTGGGATTTGTCCACGGACAAACCCGGACAAATGGGATTGTCCGGCCAAGTCTAAAAATCCCATATGGCAAAAATAGTCAAATCCCAAATCCCATCCCAATTCCAAATCCCATATACAGTCACGTTATGAATAGAGTAAACTGAATGTGAGTGCTGCCAAGACAAAACCTGTTATTGACATGCTGGCAAACCCCAAACTCCAAAAAAAAAAAAATTGATCAAGTTATTTATTATGATATTTTGCAAATATTCTATAACTATAAGAATATTCTTCTCTATGCAATTTCATTAATATTAAATCTGTTTCATCACATATTCTATTACAGATAATATAAATAATCTACGGGTTCTTTAAATCTATGGATATATATCAGTTTAAAGTAACCTGCAGATTATTAGATTATTTACTTGTTATCTTGACCAATAGAAAAATTAAATTAACCAGGTAACTTATTTATACAGTTTAAAGTACTTTTAAAGAATATATCGTTTCACTAATAAAAAATCATCATTTAG